AACACTTCACTTTACCTATGATTTCTTTTAGCTACCCTGGTATGTGTGAAGAGGTACTTTTGTGTGAGTTGCTTAGGGATGGGGTCTCACTGTATACTACTCCAGGTGGGTTTTAACTTATAGTCCTTCTCCTTTACTGTCCTCAGTACTTGCTTATTGTGATTTTGATCATTATTTCCTTAAAGACTAATGATGTTGAACTTTTCAATATGATTATTGCCTATTTATTAATATTATTTGAAAAAATCAATTCAGATATTCAAATATTGGCTTAATTTTGAAGTTTTGTTTGTTACTACCATGATATAGAAATTATTTATACATTGCTTTTGGACTCCCCATAATCTGTTGATCTCTGCATTGTATCCAATTGTAGCTTTCTGTGATGGTCCCCAGGTTTCCATTTTCTGTAAATAGAAGCTTTTTTGGTGAGGGGTGGTAGTTTCACTTAACTGTGAGCATAAGGATAATATTTAGAATGTAGTTAGGAATTACAGTAGTCTAGCAAAATGGCAGCAGCAGATTCTCTTCTAGAGTCTATGGCCTCACTTGTCCTGGGATGTTGGGAATGCTTCTAGTCCTAGGTTGGATACAACTACATCACAGCTCCTGCATCTTTCACTCAGGGAACAGCATAAAAGAGGGGATAGGAAGATTGTGGAAGCTAGAATGCCAGACAGTCTTCTGTGAGACAGTTTCTCCTAGAAATCTACAACAAACAAAAAAACAGAACAATGGCAACATCAGCAGACACGCTAAGGGATCTTATTAAAAACACAAAACTGGGCATATGGCCTGTCTTCAAGAAGAGTTTGTTTCCTCAGTCATACTCTCTTGGGGAAAAACACAATTTTATTTTCAAGTGGTTATGAGTTGGAGATAGCTTCTGGGTTAGGGTGGGAGCATGTGTCCACTAGAAAAGAAATTCTCATCAGCTCATAGTAATCAAAACAATAAACATGCATAACAAAGAAAAATATTAAAATCTTCCAAGGAAGAAGACCAAGTAGCATAAAGGCAGACCAGTTAGAATAACACCTGACTTCCCAATGGGGACTCTAAAAGCCAGAAATGCTTGAACAGATGGGCTGGGTCTATAGGACTGTATTTCTTGAATAGCATTTCTATTCTACTGATCTAGTATCTATCCTTATTCAATCTACACAGACGAAATAACCATAGCATTGTTTTGTGTTAAAAGCAAGAAGCATAAGTTTTCCACTTTTCTGTTCTATCACAATATTTTTTTACTTAATTTGCATAACTTGAATTTGTATATGAATTATGAGCTCTGTCAATTTCAGAGAGAACTCTGCTGAGGTTTTCTGATGCTTTTATTGAATCTGGGCAAACTTGCTGAGTATTGTCATCTTACAATGTTAATTGTCTGCCTATGATTTAAGAATCTCTTTGATATTATTTAGGACTTCTTTATTTTTTCAATAAATGAATAAATAATTCAATGAATAAATGTTTGTAGTTTCACCCTTATTTGCTAAATTTGTTTCTAAGTATTTTCCCCCTCAGGTTATCATAATTGAATTGTTTTTATTGATTTCATTATTAGATTGTTTATTCTAGTACATGGAAATGTAATAGGTTTTTTGGTTTATGTCAAACTCTGAAAACATGATCTCTTCATTTATTATTTCCAATTATTTTACTCAATTCCTTAACGTTCTTTGTATACAAGATCAAGTCATCTATAAAAGGATATCTCTTCCTTTCTACTTAGAATTTCTTTTATGCCATTATACCTAACAGACATGGCTATAAGCTGCATGCAATCCTCAATAAAAGTGGTAAAGGGGAACACACCTTTTCTTACTTCTGATCTTAGCAGAAGATGTTCAGTTTTGCACCACGACAGTAGTCACTATTATCATGTGAATAGATAGTGGGCTGTGATAAGTGTTATCTTAGAAGCAGTTAGAATGATTATCAGGTTTTTGTATTTTCTTCTAAAGGTATGGTTTACTAACTAGCATTTATTTATGAAATCAACTTGCATTCTAGAGGAAAAAAATCTCAGTTGGTCTGGTTGCATACTGTTTTTATGTTGCTGATATCTGCTTATACATATGATCAATTTTCATTATTTGCCATTTTGATATTTATGAACTCATCTACCTTCTAAAAGGTATGTTCCTAAAAATAAATATTTAAACCCCTTTATTGCCATTATGGGCATGAATAAAGTGTGAATATTTGAATCACCCAGTGTATAATAAGCAGCTGGTTTGATAAGACAGTGATAGTCCTTCTTTTTAAAGTATTCATATGGAAAACAAATATTTACTACAGTGTCAACTATCTTCCCATTTTATTTAATGATTTTGCTGTTGAAAATGGCCCCCAGGATTATCACAGAAAATCTAGATCATGCTCCTGTGTGCAACGTGCTTATATAGAAAATGCATGTATTGTGTGAACTTTCTTTAGACATGAGTTATGGAGCTCTTGGTCATGAATTCAATGTTAATGAATCAACAGTGAGTGATCTTTAATCAGAGAAACATAAAACAATGCTAGGTATTGATCAACTGTTGAAAATGTTGTGACCATGGGAATATAACCTTGTATTTATCCAAGAAGCAAAGATTCTGTACTCACTGAATAAGATTTCTCAGTCACTTTATATTTTATATTAATGTCTTATTAAAATCAGTGGTATTTTGGAAGATAGAAGTACATATAATTAGAGAATTAGTTGGTATTTTTCAATTGCTATGATGCTTAGAACCAGAGTGATACTGATTTCATAATCATTTGGATTTGTTCAGTACTTATTTCTGCGGTGAAGTGTTTGTAAAATTTAATGTTAATATACTTTGCATGTTTGGTAGAATTCACAGAAAAAGTGGGGCTTTAAAATTGTTTTAGAGAAAATAATTCTCTTATTATTAGTTCTTTGAAGGTTTCATATAATGTGATAATTCTTCCACTCCCACTCTTCTGTCCCTTCTTCTCTACTCATTCGACTTTGTGTCTTGTTTCCTTTAAACATTTCAAGACCAAATTATGATACTCAAATGATTTTTGGATGCATAGTTTTTCCACTGGAGTATGGCCAGTTTGGTAAGGTCTGCACTATTGGAGAAAACTGACCCATCTTTTCCCAGCACCTGACAATTAGTCTGTCCACAATTAGGGTGTGATTGTGTGCCCTACTCCTCTCTCCATGCTGGGTTATGTCTGATTTGGGTTTTCACAGGTCTTGTGAATTCTGGCACAACTGCTGTGAGTTAATATATGCAACTGCCCAGATGTGTCCAGAATATGATTCTTTGTAGTCATCCATCTTCTCTGGTTCATATACTTTCCTGCTCTTTTACAGTGATCCCTGAACCTTGGGGGATAGGAAGTAATATATATATGTATATGATATACATGTATACATGAGATATATATGTGATACTTTATATATATAAAACATACACACACATATTCTTTTGAGGGCTGACTGAGCAGTCTTCAGTCTCTTATACCTTGCATACATTGCACCTTAGCCAGGTTTTGGTTCTTTCTGTGAATAAACTGAAAATAGAAACTTCTCAAATGAGTACTGAGAGTATTTATCTAGTGGATATAATGATAAGTAATTAGGGATTTGTTTAATACTATGACCGTTTAGCAATGTAGCAGTAATATGTTCTCCCCTAGTGCCTATGACCTATTTAGCCATAGCTCATTTAGCCAGATAATGGTGCCAAATAGGGGCTTCATCTTGTTGAGTGGCAATTAAATTCAGTAACAAAATGGTTGGTTACTACTTTGTTGTTTGTGCCACTATTATGCCTTGGGCATGTCTAACAAGGAAAGTTAGTGTTGTAGCTCAAAGAGATCACAGATGGTTTAATTGATTATTACTGTTCTCCCCTTGTAGATGTCATATCACTTCCAAGCACTGGAGGGATGAAGCTTACAGATCTATACCAGCTTGATTGTATCATGTTCTATTAATAAAGTATGTGGTATCCTTAGTAATAGGGTCCATAAAGAAATTCTTAATTTTACACAAAGCATTGCCATTCATAATCTGACAGAGACTTGTAAAAGGCCTTGCATATAAAGCCAGTGTCTGAACTTGGACTTTAGAAGGATTCTTATCACTCTGGACTTGGTGGGTATGTGAGCTTTCATTGTTTGTATGAACAATGCAGTGTATTCTAAATTTTCATTTTTCTTCTAGGAATCTGGAATTTTAGTACATGCTTAAAAAGGCTACCTATATGACCAAGCCCAGGTTGCTGTCATCCATGAGATTTCATATTTGGTAGTTTCATATGTATTGTTAGGGGAGTTGAATATGTCCCATGCAACCGGAGTGAAAAATGAAATTGGCAGATGTGTATGTTTAGTGTTTCTCTTTGCAAATTATTCGTGGAATTCTTGAAGCCATAGCTATGTACTATGAGACTTCCCAGAAAGTTCCTCATTCTTAACATGATCTGAAGGATCCCCAACACCTTCTTTTAAGTTCTTGTTTAAGAACTATTCAGCATTCTAATTTATTCTTAAATTAGTTTTGTTACTTCATGTCTTTCAAAGAGCTTGTCTATTTCATTACAGTTAGCTAATTAGTTGGCATGTTTTATTCATAATATTCCCTTATGATTCTTTTACTTTGATAGAATCTGTAGTAATACCCAAGCTTTTATTTGTTTTCAGTAATTTGAGTCTTTGGTATTTTTCTTGATCATTCTACTTTCAGCGTTCTTAACATTTTCAAAGAACCAGCTCATGGTTTCATTGACTTTTCTTACTTGTTTTTCCACTTGTATTTCACTAAACAATGATATAATTATCATTTTATCCTTTATATTTGTTTCGGGCTTAATTTACTCTCATTTTTTCAGTCTGGGAAGTTAGAAATTTAGGTTACCAGTTTGAGATCTTTCACCTCTTTTCAAAATGCTGCCGAGAAGCATGCAGGGTACTGCACATGCATTAGCTCTTAGCTGCACCTCTAAACTGTCCTTTTTGAGACAGAATCTTACCATGTAGCTCATGATAGTCTGGAAGTCTCTGCATCTCTGCTTCTGCTTCAAATGACATGATTGCAGGAGTTCTCCATCACACTCTGCTTCTTGTGGTGTACACATCTATAATCATAAATTTCCTCTTGTGGTGTACACATCTGTAATCATAAATTTCCTTTTCATTAGTACTTTCACTGCTTCCATGCATTAAGGTATGTTATGACTTAATCTATCTCAGAGAACTCTCTAATTTCCTTCTTCATTCACTGAGCCACTGCTTATTTAAGAGGATATTACTTCATTTGTATCCCTCAACCTCTCACATTTTCCCAAATCTATTTCTAATATGATATCTGATTTCATTCCTTTGTGACCAGAAGAAATGCTTTATAAGATCTCAAATATTTAAATTTATCGAAGTCTTTTTTTTTAAATCTCATATAAGGATTTTTTTTTTTCGAAAAAATTTCACTTGCTCTGAAAGAATTGTGTATATTGAAATCACTGAGCAGATTATGTACTTGTCTGTTAATTTGTTTAGTTTGTAATGCCATTAAAGTCTTTTATTTGTTTATTAATCTGCTTAGGTGGTGTCCCCATGTCTCAAAGTAGGGTTTAAATAGTCCCAACTCTTACTAGTTGCTTAATAATTTATTCCTTCAGTTTTGTTAGCCTTTGTTTTGTATATTTTTAGGCTCTATTGTAGGAGTGTGCAGACTTGCACTCTTTGGCACTTGGCTTGCCACTGCAGCACCCTACTCACTCTTAGTGACAGTTTTGCTTTAAAGATTATTTAGCCATTTCAGCTTACTTACCGGTGTTGCCTGATGTTTCCCTTCATTCAACTTATCTGTACACTGGAATTTAAAATGAGTCACCTATATACCCCACGAATTTCAATAATTGTTTTCTTTTTTTTCTTTTTTTTGTTAGGAGTTACATTTATTAATTTATTGTTTAATTAATTTGGTACCAGTTTATTTTGCCACTGTAGATTATGCTTATCAATAGAATACACATCACAATAGAAGGACCCTTTTTCTTCCTGAAGGATTTTTTTCAAGACACACACACCCACCCTGTACTAAAATCTGTGAATATTCAAGTCCATAAAGCTTATATACTAGCACAGCATAGTATTTGAATATAACTTATGTATATCTTCCCATATCCTTCAGATCATCTGTTGATGACTTATATTACTCAATAAATGCAAGGGCTGTGTAAATAGTTGTTGTCCTGTACTGTTTAAGGAAGAATGAAAAGAAACAAAAGTCTGTGTGTGTATGCTCCAGGTGTATGCTCCCTGACTCCCCAAATATTTTCCATCTTTGGTTGATTGGATCTTTGGGTGTGGGATCTGCAGCTTTGCAGGGCCATCACATTCTCTTCAGGGCTGGGCGTGGTGGTGCATGCCTGTAAACCCTGGCAGTTGGATTCAGGAGGACCAGGATTTCAAACTCGTCCTTGGATCTAGAACCTATGATCTGGGATACATGAGACCCTATCTCAAAAAACTGAGAAAAAAAAAAAAAAAACCAAACCAAAAAACAAAAGAAAATCTAACAACAAAATAAAAACCAAAGCAGATTTTCTTCTGGGTTCTCATCTGAATATGATTCCTACCTAGTTCCTTAAACATATAACTAATGTCTGTAAACATTCTTAATCACTCAGATCTCTGTCATTAATTACTCAGTCTCCATGTCTTCTTGGTACC